CCCCATTTGTTTCCTGCATAGCCTGTTGCAAACTGTCATTATACTCTTCATGACCTTCTTAGGTAGTAGGAAAATTGTTGACCAGTAGACATGTATACTTGAGAGACACATGTACAGAAGCTAATGACTTGTAGTAGAAAACGAGTATAAAGTTTTATTGACTATTTGTAAACAAATTCATCTTGATATATCAAAAGCATGGGTTTTTACTTTAGGTATAGATAATTCATGGAGAGAGATAATTACATGTGACGAATATGATTATCATGTCTGATATCACATATGTGTTGTTCATCTTGTATTTCAAACATACATAGAACAAAACTTTGAACATCTTTGTAAGACAACAAAGTTTAAGAACATTTTCACAACTAGAAAATTAAAGCTAGTAGCGAAACTAGAATCATAAACAGATTTAAAAAAAAGTATACGAAATATTTTTCTTAAAGAAGAATTGTTGTTAATATGTGTCTAAAGAATCTTACTGATTTCAACAAACTTTCCAGAAATACGAAGTTACCAAATTTAATGAACCAGTGAAGAACAAAAAAAATAGAAGAACTGAAATTAATTCACAAATCTAAAATTTGTAAAACACGTACCAGAATCTGGAAAAATTTTAATAGGAAAAAGATCAAGTCCATTGAACTCACAGTGTCCCCTTAAGGAAATTATTCCCCTCTAGTATATGAGGTTTGATTTGGAATATGACCTTCCAGGGTAAAATGATCTCAATCATTAGAGTTTAGATACCAAAAACTCCGGTGTCAGCGAACTACTCAACGGCAGTAAAGTACACTTAGAATACTAGATTTAGTAGTTGAAGAAGAGGTCCATGAATTCTATATTAAAATGAGAGGAAATCCCTCAATTTATAGAAAACAAAGGGTAGTGCGAAAATGTTCCTATTGTGCCTTACCGTAAAGGTCATAAACCTTTGGAAAAGTCACAATCTTTCAGAAAGGTCTTCACCTTTCGTAAAAGTCACAACTTTCCATAAAAATCACATTTTTTCATAAAAGTCGCAACTTTTCATAAAATTCACAACTTTTTTCATAAAAATCACAACATTTCATAAAAGTTACAACTCTTCATAAAAGTCGCAACTCTTCATTTTCCATTCACACCTTTTTAAAATCCTAACAATATGGACATTGCATAATTAGTGGGATCATCTATCGATTTAGCTATTCTCGTACTGCATTTTTATAGTTGCATTTTATATTAAATCAGTAACATTCACATTTATCACGAATTTCATAACAGTATAGATACGTATAATTTCGACGAATTTTGACCTAAGGACAATATTCTAATAGAGGTGAAAGAAAAATTAGGGATTATGTATATTTCAGATGATATTGTTAGTAAAGAAATCCATATATGGATTTTGATAACATATAATATTTGAATTTCATTTAGAATTGAAACATAAGGATGATATATACTTGCATCCCTATGGTGTTTGCACGTATGGTGATGAAGAAATTGTATTTACAATATGGAATTGGATAGAAGAATCAAGTGATGTTTGTGATTATTTTTTTAGCATGTGAAGAATAAGAGTTGGAGATATTTTAAAGCAGCTAAGGTTGGTAGCATTTTTAGTTATAGGGAAACCCTCTTCCCTTTGAAAAATATTGGCTTACCAACCAACGGAATAACTGTCTAGAT